TTTTTATAAGCTCTTTTGTAATAGATAAATAAACATGTTATACTACTAACATAAGGGGTTGGAATAGTGTGCCAATTATTTTTAGAGGGATTAATGGAGTTATCTTTAGTAAGTTTTCTACTAAAAAATCGTTTACACATCGAAGTAAGATCATGATCAGTAAAGGAAGCTTCTTTGTTCGATTTTTGTACTTGAGTGATTAACTCTAAGTTGAAGGATCAACAGTTCTACTTAAACGCAATTTCAAAGATAAAAAGCACTATAAGACCAACTTGATACTTTAATTTGCAGTTATCTCTTTAGAATTATGAGCTTGATCAGGTTATATGTATGTGCAGAACATGCAAAAACAGCTGCAGGATCTGAATGAGATAAATAGAGGGCTTCAAAAGGATATCAGGTGTCGATTATTTTGGTTGTACATTGAAGTTTAACTGTTTCCTCATCCTATAGAATTTATGAATTATATTATTCTGGTTTCATTGATTTTGTTTCAACTGTGGGTTAATAATGTTGGCAGGCGAAGAATGGGAGATTGTTTGGAGGATTTGGCTATTGATGAATTGCGCTGTCTTGAAGAAGAGATGGTGAATGCTGTGAAGGTCATTCGTGAACGCAAGGTCTAAACTCATGTACTTCATATTTTCAGCTAAACAATATACACTATTCTATCTATTCTACAATGTTATACAAAATGTTGTCTGGTAGAGATCATTTGAACTTCTGATTTTACGAGTTGAATTGAGCATCAGTGATCAGTTTGAAAACTGTGATCATTTAGTAGGACTAATACGTAACATAGTTAAATTGAGAAAATCAGGGTAGTTTCGATCTTAGAATAGTTTGTTAACCTCTTCTTCTGATTTAAGTACATTGTAGATTCATAATGTGAGTTATTCATTAAACGAATTTGCCATTTTGTTAATTGACAGACTAAGAAGATTGACAACAATATTGACACTTCGAAGAAAAAGGTCAGTCCGATTTTATGATTTCCTTTCATTCTTAAAATTTGGTTGATGTTCTTATCCTTGTCTACCTATGTACTTAACTTCAGATTATTTCTTCTTTTTTTTGCATTATGTACTAGGTGCGAAATTCTCAAGAAATACACAGGAGCCTCCTGCAAGAATTTGTAAGCATATCACACTATAATCTACCTTATACACCCTTAATGATTTTTTGTTTCAAGTGTATTAGGATTTGACTGTAGAAGTTTAAGTCATTCTCTGTTGGGACAAATTGTGATTAACTGCATTTTCCTGCTTTTGGATGTCTATAAGAAAACTACCTAAACGAGAAAACGTCCAGAAGTTCTGCTTGGTTACTCTTGAATTTTTATTTTGGCAGGATATTCCGAAGGAGGAATCACAGTATGGATTGGTTGATAATGGGGAGTACAATCATGTGCTTGGATATAACGATGACAATCGTATACTTGCTTTGCGATTGCAGCCGTGTCAGCCTAATCTTCATGCTGGTGCAGGGTCAGGATCATGTGTTACAACTTACACATTGCTTTGAAGCTTTAAGTATCACCAGTCTCATGTTCTGAGTTCATGACAACTTCAGATTATTAGCTAGTTTGTGTTTGTACTCTGTAGTATCTAATGAATCAGTAAGTCTAATATTTGCAGTGTAATTTGTGTGTTATTGTGAAGCTAAATTTAATGGCAGAACTTGAGTTGTCTCGTTGCTTGAATCATTGTAAGAAAGTGATGGTACTTTATTGAAATATTATCTAGATATGGTGAATGTTTGTGGATGACTTGTTAAAAGTTGTTTTTATTGTTGAAGAGTGATATGTTGAGTTGAGAGAGAATGGCAAGAGCTTAAGGACTGACATATTATGCATCTCGCTTCTCTTGATGCCTGTATAATAAGTGTATCAATAAAGATGACATTGGATTGTGTCGCACAAAGCCATATTATCACATCATTTAGAAATGACATTCCACGACTCGTGGCGCGGCGTGATGTCAATGACAAAATGGCTTGAAACATTTAAGGTTTTTTTTAGCCTTTTTTATAATCGAAATTACAGTTGCCATTAATAAAAGTCTCTAACTCACAAAATTGCTCCAATCAAAAGTTAATCAACTTTACTTTTGTACTTATATATCTATATAAAAAAAATGTTAATCATTCATCAGTCATCAACCAAGAAGACAAACTGTAAAAAAAAAAATGATGGTAGCAAATAGCCAAATAAAGGACATGTATTGGGCCTGACCCAGGTACGGTCCAACGATTAAAAAACTAGCAGAAAGGATAATAGTATCCTTCTATGGTATCAAGTTCATTTCTTCTAAACAAGTTCTTCATAGTTCGTATTCCTATTAATCTATTATGGATTTTATATAAATTTGTCATCAAAATATTTGCTATAAAAATACAAATACATGGAGAAAAGCATAATTTTAAAATTCCTTATATCTTTTTACTTTATAAAAAGTATTTATAACAACTCTAACTTGATTGATGAAGGGGTGGTTTTCAGCTTGGGGAAGCATACTGCCGCTTTAGTCATAACTTATAACAAAGAGTTAAGGTTATCCCCAAAATTCCCCTCAAACAACTCATTGTTTTTTTTTTTTTCAAAATGAAATTTCATGTGCAAAATATGAGGGGCCCTTTTAGCTCATTGCAGCATACTTTTAGACTTAAGCCCTATTCTCATGAGATTATTTTCAGTTCAACTCTAATACGTTCAATTCAGTTCAGTTTAACTCAGTCCAATCAATGAGAACATGCCCTTACTGGGAGGAAAATTCTGAGTTGCTCTACTCAAAGCAAAGGGTTAGAGTTATCCCCAAGATACCCTCACACAACTCATTGATTTTTGTTTCAACAAACATAATATGCGCACATATAAATTTTTTAAAAAGAATTCAAATAAATTTAAATTTCTCACAATTCAATGATGCTCTAACATTATGGGAATATTCTTCACCTTGAAATCCTGTCTAGATATGATACAAAATTTTCAATCACTCCATATACACTTGAATAAGTGAATGAGATTTGTGGGTGGAGCAGTTTTAGAGTACTTACTAATGTGCCACGCACGGTTTTACTAATAAATTATAACGAATTATTAATTTAATAATAATTTACAAAAAGAAAAATACGTCTTTCTTAACTAATACTCGTATAAAATATTATTCAAAAAAAAAAAAATACTCGTATAAAATAACTTAACTTGAAATTAAAATTGTACCTCTACCAAATATGTTAAGCTTATTAATAGGTTAGACTTTCTAAAAAAATTTGAAATACATTTACTGACTATGAGGTTGTATTACTTGTATATACAAAAATCAAAAAATTAGTTTATTACCCATAATTAAGGCCCTGTTTGATTCACCTTAATTTTGCTGAACTGAAATTATTTTTACTGAATAGAACTTATTTTTACTGAACTGAACTTATTTTTACTGAACTGAAATTATTTTTACTGAACTTAAATTATTTTTACTAAACTGAAATTATTTTTACTGATTTTTAATTATGATTCTTCTTTAAGAAAACTGAATTTTACTGAACTGAACTTATTTTTACTGAACTGAAATTATTTTTACTGAACTGAAATTAATTTTACTGAATTGAACTTATTTTTACTGAACTGAAATTATTTTTACTTAATATTATTTTTTTAAGGTGAAGAGAGCAGGGCCTAAGATTAGAAGATACTAAAATCTTTTATTACTATTATCAATAACTTTATACTAAAGGCGAAACTAGGAATGACACATGTCATCTCCTGGTTAAAAAATTTCCCTCCAAAAGTTTTTTTTTATTTTATTTTATTTTATTTTTAATTTTTAATTTTTTTTTGGCCAAAGCTTCTTAGAGAAGTTTTTAATACAAACTATGCAATAATATCTCATTTCCTATTTAATAAGTGTATTCTATTTGTACACATTCAAATAAAGATATTCCTTATTTTTTTATACAATAATATGTAATAATAGTTTGATATCTATAACTTTGTAATGTAATTCATAGTTATTTTTATTAGTCGTGCATATATTATTCTCTCTAATTTCTTTAGTATGATGAATTTTTATTTATTTATTTATTTTATTTTATTTTTTTTGTAATTACAGAACTTTCATCCTATTTTGCAATTAGGTATAACTTTTTATAATTAAATAATAGTGTTAAACTAATGATAAGCATTAAGTATTAAAAATTACCGTGCATGGCACGGGATTTAACCTAGTAATCTATAAAGTTAGTAAAGGACAATAGAAAGAAAAAAAAAGGGAGAATATTTTTTATGGAAATGGTTTTGGAGTATAGAAACAACATTAAGAAGTGACACAATATCTGTCAAATCTGGTGTTCCATTCAATTATATACGAGTACTGTGTCACTTCTTACTTGACGGCGCATTAACAATTAATAAAGATTTTAGAAGTTAGATCATTTATTTCAATTTTACATTCGAGACGAACTAATTTAAGTAACCAAATTTCCTTTTTTGATAAAGAGTGAAACATACCATTAAACTTCAATCATGTGCCATTAAAGTTCTAAAACAAAAATCTTTTTAGATAATAAAATCAAAATTACTTCACAATTTTTTCGTCTCACCTGGCATATAACAATTAAAAACTATAAGACTCCACCCTCGCCTGAGGTACAATAGCTAAAACTATAATATCACATTCTCACCTGACATGTAACACCTAAGGGCCTCTGTTCACATTTAATTTCAGTTCAGTTCAGCTCAGTTCAGTTCAACTCATTTTAATAAATGTAAACATGCCCTAAGACTACCAACACTCCATCTCCACATACGGTAGCACTCGTCTCCCCATAACCAATTCCGATATCAAAAATTGATGTTGAGGATCTTTTAAGAGATTTTCCAAATCAAAAATCAACCAAATTGATAAACACAAAATCACCTCAATGGTTGCTTTTGACCCAAACCAAGACCACCACCTCTTCTTCATCTAATCAAACCATTAACACTAATAACAGTACATGAACCAAACATTAGAGTAGAGACGTAGAGTATTATTGGTGTTTAGTGTTTACTTCATCTTCCTCAAATTTCTCAATTCCGTTAAACTCAGTAACTAAATTCCGTGATAAACATAAACGTTTTTTTGGTTTTTCTCTCTCCTCTTAGCGAACCTCCCGCCTCCTGTCTCAATCTTTTTCTCTCTCTAAAAAAATTTGGGGTTTTTTGCAATTTCTCTCTCCTCAAACCTCCATTAAACCCCGCCAAATTAAAACCTCCATTGAAGGAGGAAGAGAAGAGTGAGAGAAATGGGAGCTCTTGCTCTTCCTTCGCCTTGGATTCCTGAAGATGACCTTAGGCTTAAGAATGCAATCGAGGTACCACTTTTTTCAAATTTCCCTTTTTATTTTACTATTGAAATTGATGTTCTACTATTTGTTTGTTGGATTTGATTGTTTATTTTTTGGGAATTCGATGAATTTTCTGTATTTGGGTCTTTTAATTTTCTGTAATTGAGGGTTTGATGCATTTTTTTATTACTTTGTATGATTTCGGTTTTTGGGTGTGTGATTGGAATTATGACTCTTGATTTTGTGTTCTTTATTTGGGTAATTTGAGTTTCGAATTGATTATCGTTTCCAATTGATTCGAGTTTATGATTCTAATTTTTGGTGGTGATCATAAAGATTTGATTTTGGGTGGGAAATTAGGGTATTCGGAGTTGAAATTAGGGTATTAGGAGTTGAAATTAGGGTTTAGGGTTTAAGGTATATGTGTAATTAGTGATTAAGAATGAATTGTTGCTGTTTGTTTGCGTAATGAATTGTTGCTGTTTGTTTACGGCATGTTATGATTTTGTTTTTACCGATTATGTGAATGTTGAGTGTTTTGCATTTTTTTTAGGCTGGTGCTTCCTTGGAATCACTAGCGAAGGGTGCCGTGCAATTTTCACGGAGATTTACTATTAAGGAATTGCAAGATAGGTGGCTTGCTCTTCTTTACGATCCTATTATATCGACGAGAGCTGCTGAACAAATGGTGGAGTTAGAACGTTCTTCATCGAATCTTGCTTCAAAATCTAACAGAGCTGATAATACGAAAGGAGCTAAAAATGCCCATGGGAAGAGGAGGGCTGAAAGTGTACGTAGATGTTATTATGCTATGAGGAAAAGAATATGCAATGAGCCTCATAACCAGGGTGATTTGGCTTTTCTCGTTGGAACTAGTGATAGTTGTTTTATGAATGGGGCTGAAGCTCCAGTCCCAGACGACATACTTGGAGATCCAATGGCTGGTCATTTTGGGCTCGGGGAATATGAACATGTTGATTTTGATGAGTTGCGTAATGAATTTCCTCAAGTCACGAGAGGTGGTGCTCCATCTTGTGGGGCTAGTGAGTTTCCCACTCAGCAACATAATACATTTGAAGATCATATGGAGCATAACACTTTGCTACTGCATAATGCGTCTTCCAAAGAACTTCCTGGTCATAGTATGTTTGAAGGAAACAATATTCAAGTAAATCCTGATTGCAATCGTAAAGACATCATGTGTTCTGGTTTTGAAGGAAACACAACCTTTAATCTATCTATACCTGAGAGTGAAGCTCAATATCATTTGCAGTACACATCTCCACCCCCTGCAATGCCTGATTGGAAACCAATTGATGGCATGTCAGTGCCAGAAATGCCTGATGATATAAGCATTAGGGGAAAAAATATACACATAGGAGATCCTTTTGTTAACGATGATGCTGGAGGAACATCTGAGTATGGTGTTATGCACACAGATCCCGATTTGACCAATCAATTACCAGGTGATGACTTGGAAAATCCGGGAGGTTGCACTGAGGGCATTTTTGCAGACTTTGAATTCACAAGTGATGTGTTAAATCTACTCTTGTTAGACTCCCCTAACGATGTTAATGAAGATGACAGATTGCCCAATGTGTTTGAAACGAAAGAGTCATCTGCTACAGACGTATATATTGATATCCCGAGTAATACAGGTCCATTTGAAAAAAATGATGTTGATTCTCACATGGGTGGCAGTAATTTTCAAAATAGTTTAGAAACTCAAATGCCTACATCAACTGCATATGTCAACTCTGAGTTCCCGGAATATTGTAATGGTGTTATTTGCTGCGTATTAAACACCGAGGATCCTGAAATTCCATGTAACGACCATATTGTTTTTCCTAGTAAGCCACGGTCAGCATCTTCCAGTAGAAGAACTCAGAGTGAGGCTTATAACCTATCATTACATGGTAAGGATAGCACTGGCACTCAATCTAGTGCAAAAGGTCTAAGCACAATGAAGAGAGAACAGAAACGGTTTGGTGAATCACGTCAAGCTTCTCAGACACGAGGTCTTGATGTGGGACATAATCGTGCTGTTAATGAGCCTGGGGTTAAATTTGAGACATCTAGGCCTGAAACATTTAATGGCCCCAGGAGTTCTAGTAGTGGCCCTGGAGCTCCATGTCAAAGTAGTCAGGGAGTAAAGAACGAACCTTTAGAACTTCCATTGTCTAGACAGCCTGGCTGCAGTGTTGCTGAGAAATCAAGTCATCTCTCAGATGTGGGCCATATACACACTGCTATTGGGGGAACTTCTCAGGATGGCCAGACATCACTGGCCCTTAAAAACCAGGAATCACACACCCTGGGATCTGCGGATGGTATGGCTGCAGAACCTGGTATAGATTCATTATTATCTGACCCTGAAGAGCTATTCTCCGAGAGTGATACTGACATTCCTTATTTTTCTGATGTTGAAGCAATGGTACTATTCAAATTCTGTTAGCAATGTATGGTATTGCTGTAAAGTTTTATTTTTCCCCATCATTTCCTCTAATCAATTGCTTTTTTGTGCCAGATACTTGATATGGACTTGGGTCCAGAAGATCAGGATTTTTTCTGCAGTAAAGAAGGTACAATGAATTAGCTTGGACCTTCTGTTTCTGCCAATGTTTTGTTTACATTCCTCCCCTAAATATTTAATTTTTATTGCCAACACTAGTTTTTAGTTGAAAGTTCATCTATAGGTCAGCATGCTCTACTTTTTTTTTGACACAACTGAGATTGTTGTTAAACATTTTCTTTTTAGGGCAGTCTTTTCATCCTTTAACATCACCTATATTTGAGTACTATTGACCTCAATCCGGGCTTTTGTGGTCCTCCCTTGGCCTTGTCTGTCTTTGGGTTGCAATTATAGAGCATTTAACTTAACCAAAAGATGCATATTTTGTTTTGAGGCATTTCAACTATCTGGGCAATCAGTATCATGCACATGATTTTTTGACAAGTGGTTACTGATGTCACATTTGCAATGTACCTCCCTTTGCACCTGAAAATTTAATATTACTGCTACTGCTTGAAATCTGTGAGGAAATACCTTTCCCCCTTACCATGCCATTGCCATCTATACTCTTTAAATTATATCTAATTTTATATAATTGTTAATTTAATTTTCTGTCAAACAATAGTTTTTGTATTTATTTGTTTTATTGATTCTGTTTATTTTCAGTTGCAAAATATCAGCATGAGGATGTGAAGAGGGCGATCATAAGGTTGGAGCAAAATGCACATTCATATATGCAGAGAGCCATATCATCACATGGTGCAATTGCAATATTATATGGTCGGCACTCGAAGCATTACATTAAGAAACCTGAGGTACTTTGTTTGGCTTCTGTTTCTCATCCTTTTTGCTGCATCCTAGTTGACAATTGCCATCTTTTTGGCTGTATCTACTTGACTTGTGACCCTCATACCTTGCTTGAATTGTAGGTCTTGCTTGGAAGAGCAACAGGGGATGTTATGGTTGACATTGACTTAGGCAGAGAAGGGCGTGCAAATAAGATATCAAGGCGACAGGTGAGATTTCCTGTAAACTCATGTTGTTGAAGATACTTATCCTTATGGCAATATGTTGTATATCAACCATGGCTTTTTATTATATTTTATTTTCTACTTTTTCTTTTGAGCTGATTATATATTTTCATTTGTTATCGATAATGCTTTTGTCTATAGTGCTAAAATGGTATACTACCAATGTTAAATTAAGAGGTTTAGTAGTCTATTTATTCAAGCTTTGGTCTCTTCCATAGATTTTCTTTTTTGTTGGTTGCTGTACCTAGGGCTTTGCAGTCCTCTGTTTTCTTCTTTGGGTTGGAGTGGTGGGGGTGGGAGGAAGTTCGTGTGCTGCTATAGAGTATAGGTTTGTAGCTTGTTGGCCTTGTCCACAATGCACAATTCCCTCTTAATTCCTTTAATTTATGATAACTGAATAGATTTATGCCGAGGAAGGTATATGAGGAGTGCAAACAAAATGGAATAGGCTAAATTTCATGATCAAAGCCTGTAAATCTACCATCTGCTGAACTGTTATTGCTGATTCTGAAACTTTTGCCAATCCTTGTTTTCAGTATTTTTGTTCACATTGGAAAATGTTGCTTGTCTGATCAAGCATCGTTTCTCTTTCTTATGCTCTTTCACGTATTCATCTCTGCACCTTGAGGACTTATGATGTGGCATTGTGGTTGTTGAATTGTTTATGACCCAGGCAATTATAAAGATGGACAAAGATGGAGCTTTTAATATAAAGAATACTGGAAAATGTTCAATCTATGTAAATAGCAAGGAAGTCTTCCCTGGGCAAAGTCTTGGTCTGCACTCAAATTGCTTGATTGAGGTATTTAACTATACATTATTTTAAATGTGCGCTTGATTCTATTCCTTGTATCTGTAATGTGACTAATGTCTGCAGATGGCAGATGTAATTAACTAACCCAATCTTTTCCAAATCTTGTAATTCCCAAAATGGTAGCTGATTCGGGACTAGGAGCAACCCAGCTTAGATCGACCCAATTTCACTCGAATTGCCTTGATTCGACAGACCAAAACCAATTATGACCTGAATTTAGGTGTCCCAAATTTAAAGCAAATCCGACTTGACCGAACATTTCATCTTACTTTGCTACTTATAATTTTTGTTGCTTTGTAGACTTTTATTGCATTGTAAATCTTAGGAACCTTGACGTAGGGAAGTAATATATCTCTTAGATGGAATTGAATGAAGTACACATCTTAGACTTAATGATGGTTTGGTACTTTGGTTGAATGACTCAGCAACTACATAGTCGTCTATGCCAGATACACATTTTTGAATGATGTTGATATTGGGTGTAAATATAAAGCTTTGAACTAGAGGGAAAGTATGCATTTAGTCATCGTCAATAATACTGTTATATTTAGTCAGCTGCTTTATAAATGTAAAAATTGCAATCTACGGAGTATAAAATTAGGTTCATTATGAATAACTAGTAACCTAAATTTTATAGCGTAGAAGCACACGAATGTAACACGAAAAATCTGCAAAAGCATTGGATTATGTAACATTCAGGTTTCTTTTAATGGTTAATCCAACTTAAAATACATCTGTAAAAATCTGATGCCTTATAAAGTATATTATAATTCAAAATGTCTTAGATACGGACTTGATATTTGCTGATACGACTTCCCCTGAATCCTGATAATATTTAATCATCTTAATTCCGATCTACCCTTAGTAGCACAGACTTGATTCAGAAAAAAACTTAATGTTGATTGGATGGAATAGTTACCCAAGTCAACATAGACGTGATGGACCTAACTTGATATAAACCCAATCTGACACCGATCAAAGCCTTATGGTCGTGCCTGACCTGACCCAATATATACAAACCTGAACTTGAATTGATCCGAACCTTGGGCAGTATGAACCCATTTCTGATTGACTGGAAACGAGCCATATGACCTGTAAAGGCAGGTCTAGCTATAAATTTCCATCAAAGATCTATCTCTCCCTGAAGAGAATCGGTTATATAGCATGTTTTTGGCAGCTAAACTAGCTCATGGCATGTTTCTAATAGTTATGGTACATCAGTACATGGGGGGTTCTGATTGTCTCAGTCTTTATAGGGCAAGTCATTCTACCAGGAAAGAGTTGTTAGTTGTTTCTGCAATCCCATTATGTGAAATACACTCTCTCCCCTCGCAATTCCATGCACCCTATCGGCCTATCCTGATTTCTTTCTGTTTCCACTGTTATCGCTAAAAAAAAAGTCTATGAGAGAGGGTGGGGGGAAGCTGAGATTTGGGTAGTTTGACAGCTGTTTTTGGATAAGAACCAAGTCACCAACTTTCACACAGGGTTTAGTAAGCATAATTTGGCAGTTTCTGTCCTACATGGAGCACAAATAAGCAATGATATAGCAAGTGTGGGAGGAGAGTGACTGGAGCATGTAAGGAGGATGACAAGAGATGAAGTAAAGGGAAAAATAGCATATCATCATCATCATCAAACTTGGGCAACAAAGATATGGAATAGTTCTAAATTATTCCATCTTCCTGTCTATATTTGATTATAATTTGTTTCGTTTTCTGGGTGGTAGTCAGATAGGCCCTAGGTACTATGCAAAGTCACTTCTATCTTCTGAGACATAAAATAGACCGTCCTATGTATGTTGCACTAGCAGCAAGAGGTTATAGTTTCTCTTTGTAAATTTCTGTTCTGGTTTTGTTATTAACATTGAGTAATTTGCTCACTGACTGACTGATTTGTTTGTGGGTGATGTTGTGTTACTTCAAGATAATTGTGTCACCATAATTAAATATGCCCTGACTGGTATTGTTTTGAGATAGTTGGCCGCCTCTGTTTAATTGTTTTTGTTTCATTATTTGTTCATTTTAACAATGCAGTCAAGACTTACTTTAGCTGGTAGTGTTGTACTAGATGGTTACGAAATGCAAGCTTAACATACATTTTGGATTTATCTGCAGATTAGGGGAATGCCATTCATATTTGAGACAAGCCAGACTCGAGTAAAGCAATATTTGGATAATGCTACCCGGAAACTTGAGGACAAGAAGGTGAATATCTAAAGAGTTTGATGACCACTGGAGGTGCTTGTTTTACTGCACTTTCTTGGTTTATATTTTTTACTTTAGCCTCTTAGGTCTTTGTATCTACCCTGCTGACTGCGTAGAGGATTAGGTGATGTTTAGAAGTAGGCCTGTAAATTGTATGCTTAACTTGAAATAGTAGGATAACTATCAAAAGTCATTGTCTTCATTCAAATCCTCCATTTTTTGCTACTGCTGCCCCACGTTCAAAGTGAAATTAGATTTATTAAATCACAATGGATTATCCTTCTTTGTATCTATAAACCAGAAGGCTAAAGAGCGTGATGTTGTGGTCTGGTTGTATTTGAACTCTATGGAAGTATGGATATGGTCTTGGTTCACTGTGATACTCCCTGTAGTTAGAACTATGAAGCTCTTTCTAGCATGGCATGATGTCCATTCGGAAAGTCGGAGGTAGTAGAGAGATTGTGGGCAGAAGATCGAACACGCGTATTACCTTAATGAAGTTTGGCATAACAAACGTGACAATTAAAGCCGTTGAGGTGAGCTAACATTGTGACTATCAGGGTAAATGTTAAACCTTAGCCTGAAAATATTGGTCTGAGGACACAGATGACAAATCTAACATATGGGTCGATGGGTTTAAATCCAAGATCAATCCCATGATAAAATGAAACCTGTTATTTTTTTTTTCTTGTTGCAAAATCCAACACACATTTTATTTAACAGGTTTTAAAAATGATATACATAGTTCTTAGGCTAATATAAGGAGCTAAAAATGAAAATAAATAAATAAAATGAAAATACATAGTATATATTTATTTTTACGTGTTTTTGTCATGCATTCCTAAATTAACATTCCATACGAAATTAAGAGTTATATTAAGGGTAAGCTAAATGTAGCCCTTAAAGCTGAGAATAAGCCTTTAATATGTTTTCTAATTTAAAATTTGTATTGAGGAATGCATGATAAAATCATGAATCGGTGTAATTAATATTATTTTTTCATTTTTTTTTTCATTTTTAGCTCCTTATCATATACTACCTCCGTTTTTAAATATTTGCTCCATTTCCTTTTTTGGAAAACTTTTACAATATTTAATTCATTTCTCACACTTAATGGACCCAACATAATACTCTCTCTCCTCCTATTCTTCCACTACTTTGGTTTTTACAATTTTTTATTCTTTCAACTACTCTACTACCTCCATATTTTATTACTTTTTTCAATTTCTCCTAAAACTCCACGCATGAAGAAATGGAGCAAGTATTTAAAAAGAAAGGAGTATAGCCCTAAGTAGAGCTGTCAATTCGGATAAACGAGTCGGGTTTGGGTCGGATAAGAGTAGGTCGGGTCAACTCGGGTCGGGTCAATTTAGATTAATTCCATAACCTATGCAGGTCGAGTTTGGGTTGGGTCATACTTGAGTCGGGTCATGCTTGAGTCGGGTCATACTTCTTATCGGGTTTGGGTCGAGTTTAGGTCGGGTTACATTCAGGTCGGGTGAACAATAGGTCGGGTTTATTTCGGGTTTTCACGGGTTAAAACGATTTAGGGTAATTCTGGGGTTCGAGTCGAGTTCGGTAAAATTCAATAATTTGCGGGTTAGAATAAGGTCGGGTCATTCTCGAGTTTGAGTCGGGTTCGATTCAAGTCAATAATTTACGGGTTATAATCAGGTCGGTCATTTTCAAGTCGGGTCATTCTCGGGTTTGAGTCGGGTTCGGTTCAAGACAATAATTTGCGGGTTATAATCAGGTGGGTCATTTCCAAGTCAAGTCATTCTCGGATTCAAGTTGGGTTATGTTCAGGTCAATAATTTGTAGGTTACAACCATTTCCAGGCCAGGTCATATTTCGGGTTCAACTAATTATAAATACGTAATTATCATTTTTATCAAGCTAATTATTTCTTTTGAGTATAATATATATGGCAATATACTAGGGAACTATAGTCTATAATTTAGGAAGATAATTATCTCCTTTGACCATACAACAAATATATACTATATTTAACTCTTAAATTTGAGGACGATGCTTCTTTCTTTTGCTAGCTAGACCGACTTGGTCTCCATAGACAAAATGCTTTGATCAACAATAATAAGGTGGTCTAAATTGCATTTGAGGTGATTTGAAATCGGGTCAGGAACAATTTGGGTTTAATTTAGATCGGGTCAATAACAAGTCGTGTTGATTTCGAGTCGGGTTAGAAACAGATCGGGTTGAAGTTTTGGATTGGGTTAGTAATAGGTCTGGTAAAATTCGGGTCGAGTCAATAAGACGTCGGGTTAAATTTAGGTCAGGTCAATAACAAGTCGGGTTAATTTTGGGTCGGGTTTGTAACAGGTTAGGTTAAATTCGGGTCGGGTTAGGAACGGGTCGGGTTGAATTCAGGTCAGGTTACTAACAAGTCGCGTTAAATTCGGGTTTTGATGGGTTAAAACAGGTTAGGGTCAATTGCGATTCAAGTTAGGTTCGGTGCAAGTTAACTAAATTGGCCGTTGTAAACCGGTAAATCGGTGCATGTTGTAGACCGGTGAATTAGCCATTTGAAAGCAAGTTGAATGGTTCCACACACCTAATTGGAATCCCGCAGGCTATTAAGGACCATGGTAAATATTTCAGCAATTTTTATTTCCGAGCGAAAAAAGTCAAAAATTCCAAAATTGAAGGCTTATATCTAAGTTTTTTGAGAAATTTTGGAGGTTTCAGGGCTCGGTGTCGAAAAGACTTGAAATTCTATGGAATACATCTCGGGGTCATATAATGCCGTTTAGAACCATATATGATCATTATTTGTTGTCATAAATGTTCGTGGTAGGCTTGAATTAATGAGATCGGTGCAAGTTGTAAACCGGTAAATTGGTCGTTTAAAGGCAAATTAGATGGTTCCAACCACTCAATTGGACTCGCGGAGGGTATTAGGGACCATGGTAAACATTTCAGCAATTTTTATTTTCGGGCGAAAAAAGTCAAAAAAATTCAAAATTAAAGGATAATATCCACGCTTTTTGAGAAATTTTGGAGTTTTCGGGGCCCGGTGTCTAAAAAAATTGAAATTCAATACATCTCGGGGTCATATAATGTAGTTTGGAACCATATGTGATCATTATTTGCTGTCATAATGTTCGTTGTAGGCTTGAGTTAATGAAATCGGTGCAAGTTGTAAACCGGTAAATTGGTCGCGTAAAGACAAATTGGATGGTTCCACCCTCCTAATTGGACCCCTAGAGGTTATTAGGGACCATGGTAAACATTTCGTCAATTTTTATTTCGGAACGAAAAAAAGTCAAAAAATTCCTAAATTGAAGATTAATTTATCCATGCATTTTGAGAAATTTCGAAGGTTTCGGGACTAGGTGTCGAAAAGAAAAGAGATTTTATTAGATACATCTCGGGGTCATATAACTAAGTTTGAAACCATAAATGACCATTATGTGTTGTCATAAATGTTTGTTGTAGGCTTGAATTAATGAAATAAGTGCAAGTTGTAAAGCGATAAATTGACCGTTTAAATGCAAATTGGATGGTTCCACCCACCTAATTGGACTTACGGAGGGTATTAGAGATCATGGTAAACATATTGGCAATTTTTATTTTCAGGCGAAAAAAAGGTCAAAAAATTCCAAAATTGAAGGCTTCTTGAGAAATTTTGAAGGTTTCGGGACCAGGTGTCGAAAAGAAAAGAGATTTTTTTAGATACATCTCGGGGTCATATAATGACGTTTGAAACCATAAATGACTATTATGTTTGTCATTAATGTTCGTTGTAGGGTTGAGTAAATGAAATAAGTGCAAGTTGTAAAGCAATAAATTGGTCGTTTAAATGCAAATTGGATGGTTCCACCCACCTAATTGGACAACCGGAGGGTATTAGGGACTATGGGGAACATCTCGGCAAATTTAATTTACAGGCGAAAAAAAAAAGTAAAAAATTGAAGGCTAATATCCACGTTTTTTGAGAAATTTTGGAGGTTTTGAGTCCCGTTGTCAAAAATCCTTGAGATTTTACGGGATATATCTTGGGGTCATATAATACCGTTTGAAACCATATATGATCATTATATGTTGTCATAAATTATTCGTGGTAGGTTTGAGTTAATGAAATCGGTGCAAGTTATTAACCGGTAAATTGGTCGTTTCAAGGCAAATTGGTTGGTTCTACCCATCCAATTGGACTCCCGAAGGATATTAGGGACCATGATAATCATTTTGGCAATTTTTATTTATGGGTGAAAAAAAGTCAAAAAATTCAAAAATTGAAGGCTATCCACGCTTTTTGAGAAAATTTGGAGTTTTCGGGGCCCGGTGTCTAAAAACCTCGAAATTCTAAGGAATACATCTCGGGGTCATATAATGTCGTTTGCAACCATATGTGATCATTTTTTATTGTCATAAATGTTCGTTGTAGGCTTGAGTTAATGAAATCGGTGCAAGTTGTAAACCGGTAAATTGGTCATTTAAAGGCAAATTGGATGGTTCCACCCTCCCAATTGGATCCCCCAGAGGTTATTAGGAATCATGGTAAACATTTCGTCAATTTTAATTTCCGGGCGAAAAAAGTCAAAAAATTCCTATAATGACGTTTGAAACCGTAAATGATTGTTATGTGTTGTCATTAATGTTCGTTGTAGGGTTGAGTAAATGAAATAAGTGCAAGTTGTAAACCGGTATCACCATTTAAGGAAAATTGGATGGTTCCACCCACCTAATTGGACTCCCAGAGGGTATTAGGGACCATGGTAAACATCTCGGCAAATTTTATCCACAGGCGAAAAAAAGTAAAAAAAAATTCAAAAATTGAAGGCTAATATCCACGCTTTTTGAGAAATTTTAGAGGTTTCAGGGCCCGATGTCGAAAAGTTTTGAAATTCTATAGGATACATCTCGGGGTCATATAATTCTTTTTGGAACTATATATGATCGTTATATGTTGTTATAAATGATCGTGGTAGGCTTAGCTTGAATTGATGAAATCAGTGCAAGTTGTAAGTCGGTAAATTGGTCGTTTAAAGGCAAATTGGTTGGTTCCACCCACCCAATTGGAATCCCAGAGGGTATTTGGGAGCATGGTAAATATTTCGGCAATTTTTATTACCGGGCGACAAAAGTCCTAAATTCTAAAATTGATGGCTAATTTCCACGCTTTTTGAGAAATTTTGGAGGTTTCGGTCAGGTGTCAAAAAGGCTAGATATTTTAGGAGATACATTTCGGGATCATATAATGCCGTTTGGAACCATATATGGTCATTATATGTTGTCATAAATGTTCGTGGTAGGCTTGAATTTATGAAATCGGTGCAATTTGTAAATCGGTAAATTGGCCGTTTAAAGACAAATTGGTTGGTTCCATCCACCCAATTGGAATCCCACAGGGTATTATGGACCATGGTAAACATTTCGGCAATTTTTATTTTCGGGCGAAAAAAGTCAAAAAATTCTAAAATTGAAGGCTAATATCCACGTTTTTTGAAAATTTTTGGAGGTTTCGAGTCCTGGTGTCGAAAAGGCTTGAAAATTAAGGAAAACATCTCGGGGGTCATATGATGCCGTCTGGAACCATATATGATCATTGTATGTTGTAATAAATGTTCGTGGTAGGCTTAAATTAATGAAATCGGTACAAGTTTTAAATCAGTAATTTGGTCGTTTAAAGGCAAATTGGATGGTTCCACCCAACCAATTGGACTCCCAGAGGGTATTAGGGACCATGGTGAACATTTCGGCAATTTTCATATCCGAACGGAAAAGGTAAAAAAAATCTAAAATACGTTTTTTTGAGAAATTTGGGATGTTTTGAGGCCCTGTATCGAAAAGTTTTGAGATTTTAGGCAATAAATATCGGGGTCATATAATTCCATTTGGAACCATATATGATCATTAAATGTTGTCATAAATGTTCGTAGTATGTTTGAGTTAGTGAAATTGGTGTAAGTTGTACACCAGTAAATTGGTCGTTTAAAGGCAAATAGGATAGTTCCACCCACCTAATTAGTCTCCCAGAGGGTATTAGGGACTATGGTAAACATTTCGGCAATTTTTATTTCCAGACGAAAAAAAAAAGTAAAAAAATTCTAAAATTTAATGCTAATAATATCCATGCTTTTTGAGAAATTTCGAAGGTTTCAGGGCTGGTGTCGAAAAGAAATGGGATTTTAGGGGATACATCTCGAGGTCATATAATGTCGTTTGGAATCATAATTGATCATTATATGTTGTCATGAATGTTCGGTGTAGGCTTGAGTTAATGAAATCGGTACAAGTTGTAAACCGTTAAATTTGTCATTTAAAGGAAATTGGTTGGTTCCACCCACCCAATTGGACTCACGGAGGGTATTTGGGACCATGGTAAATATTTCGACAATTTTTATTGCCGGGCGAAAAAAGTCAAAAAATTCCAAAAATAAAATCCACGCTTTTTGAGAAATTTGGGATGTTTCGAGGCCCGGTGTCGAAAAGTTTTGAAATTTAAGGGGATACATCTCGTGGTCATATAATGTCGTTTGGAACCATATATGATCATTATATGTTGTCATAAATGTTCGTGGTAGTCTTGAGTTAATTTAATCGGTGCAAGTTGTAAACCGGTAAATTGGTCGTTTAAAGGTAAATAGGATGGTTCCACCCACCAAATTGGACTCCCAGAGGGTATTAGGGACCATGGTAAACATTTCGGAAATTTTTATTTCGAAAAGTCAAAAAACTCGAAAATTGAAAGCTACATCCACGCTTTTTGAGAATTTTTGGAGTCTTTGAGGCTCGGTGACGAAAAGTCTTGAAATTTTAGGTAATACATCTCGGAGTCATATAATGTCGTTTGGAACCATATATGATCATTATTTGTTGTCATAAATGTTTGTGGTAGGCTTGAATTAATGAAATCGGTGTAAGTTGTAAACCGGTAAATTGGTCGTTTAAAGTCAAATTGGATGGTTCTACCCAGCCAATTGGACTGTCGGAGGGTATTAGGGATCATGGTAAACATTTTGGCAATTTTTATTACCGGTTGAAAAAAAAGTCAAAAAATTCCAAAATTGAAGGTTAATATCCACGTTTTTTGAGAAATTTTGGAGGTTTCAGGTAGTGCTGGCAGTTCGAGTAAACGGGTTGATAAGAGTGGGTCGGGTAAACTCGAGTTGGGTCAATTCGGATTAATTCCTAACCTATGCGGGTCGGGTTTGGGTTGGTTTATGTTTGATTCAGGTCACGTCGGGTCATACTTCTTATCGGGTTTGGGTCGTGTTTAGGTCGGGTTAATAAAAGTTCGCGTTACATTCGGGTCGGGTTTAATTCGGGTTTTCATGGGTTTGGGTAATTCTCAGGTTCAGTGTAAGTCAATAATTTGTAGGTTAGAATTAGGTCGGTCATTCTCGGGTTTGAGTCGGGTTCAGTTCAAGTCAATAACTTGCGGTTTATAATCAGTCGGGTCATTTTCAAGTCGGGTCATTCTCGGGTTCAAGTCAGGTTCGGTTCAAGTCAGTAATTTGCGGGTTATAATTAGGTTGGGTCATTTCCAAGTCGGGTCATTCTTAGAGACAAGTCGGGTTATGTTCAAGCCAATAATTTGCAGGTTACAATCAGGTCGGGTCATTTTCCAAGTCAGGTCATATTCGGGCTCAACTAACTATAAATAAGTAAGCATCATTTTTATAAAGCTAATTTTTTTCCTTTGACTATAATATATATGGCAATATACTAGGGAACTATAATTTATAATTTAGGAAGATAATTATCTCCTTTGACCATACAACGAATATATACTATATTTAACTCTTAAATTTGAAGATGTTGCTTCTTTCTTTTGATGGACTAAACCAACTTGGTCTCCCTACACAAAATACTTTGATCAATAATAATAAGGCGGTCTAAATTGCATTTAAGGTGATTTGAAATCGGATCAGGAACAATTTGGGTTGAATTTAGGTCGGGTCAATAACAAGTCGTGTTGATTTCGAGCCGGGTTTGTAACAGATCGGGTTGAATTTTTGGGTCGGCTTAATAATAGGTCTGGTAAAATTCGGGTCGGGTCAATAACAAGTCGGGTTAAATTTGGGTCAGGTTAATAACAAGTCGGGTTGCTTTCGGGTCGGGTTTGTAACAGGTTGGGTTAAATTCGGATTGGGTTAGGAACGTGTCGGGTTGAATTCAGGTCAGGTTAGTAACAAGTCGGGTTAAATTCGGGTTTTGACGTGTTAAAACGGGTTTTGGTCAATTTCGGTTTAAGTCGGGTTCAGTTCAGGTCAATAAATTACGGGTTACATTCGGGTCAGGTCATCTCCAGGTCAGTTCATGTTCGGGTTCAAGTCTCACGTACTCGGGTCTAGTGTTGGTTTCAGGTCGGGTCAGGTCGGGTTTAGGTCACCATTTTTTCGGGTTCAGATGGGTCGGTTAATAATCGGGTTTGGGTCGCTATTCCGAATTTGGTCAACTTTTGACAGCTTTACCCCTAGGGTTAAGTATAGCAATTTTTTCCATTATTGGTAATTGCTTGTAGTCCTAAAGTCTATATACATTATCACCCATAAGTTTCTATATACATTTTTTTTTTGTGTTTTACCCAGTTCACTCTTTAGGCTAATCCGGATTCGGGGATCAGTTTTGGGTGGTTAGGTTCCAGTCCCCTCCCAGTTGTTGTTGCGGGGAATCGAACACAAGTCCTCCCTACCAAGTGTAGTCCCAATCACCACTACACCAACATCCAATTGGTAAGTTTCTATATACATTATCACCCATAAGAGCAACTTCAATGGTTGTAGCTAGGGACTTGCTTGCAATTTTAAATAGTCCTTAGCTACTAGCTTGACCATTGGAGCAAAAATATGTAATTAGCTTAGTTAAGCAAATTAGCTTGAAAAAAACTTGCCAAAAAGAAAATGTTAAAAGTCAATTAGTAATTGAGATAAAAATAATAAATTGATAATTTAAATAGTAAGCTAATAGCTAGCCATTGGGGATCAAACTAGCTACAAACATAATTAACTTGAAAGCTTATGTGGCATGACAAGCTGATTTGACAATTAGTTTGCCATTGGAGTTGCTCTAAGTTAAATATTGAAGTACTCCGTATATACCTAATAGTTAGTACTATTATGGCAAGTATTCATTAATAGCATTCATTAATATATATGACCATTTAATAGGTTTTTTTTTTTTTTTTGACAGGACCATTTAATAGTACATTAACGGTTAAGTTGTTAACTAACAATCAAACAAATAGCTTAACTCTAATTAAACCCTAAAATAAGAATCATAACCAGAGTCTTAAGTCTTAACCCAACAATAACTGACAAATGTAGTAAAGGAATTTAATCACAGCTTTTGGGTTAGTAAAACCTTATAAATGTCAATGCATCAGATCTATAAACAACTTTCAAAGTTCTCAATCCCTATGTTTTACCTGCACACAATAGTCAGTTCCATAACTATTTTTAATTTCCCAACTTGACTTTATTATTTCATAATCATTCAACTATAATTATGCTGTATTTCCTACTGCCTTACACTACCGACCACTACAGGTTTAACTTATACTTCTATCCCCACTTCAACAAAAGGGTTTTATTTGTGAGACGTAAAATATTTCTTTGTTGCATATAATAAGAAACGGAGGTAGTATTTTTAACCAAGATCTTATTTCTTAACTTAATTAATCATTTGTCAGATTAATTTGTACGGCTCAACTACTTGATCTTCCTTTACTTTGCTCACTCTTTCAAGTAGTACAATTAGTACTGCTGTTTATTATCACTTCAACAGTGAGATACCAAAAAAATAAAAATACCTTCTGAAGTTAACAGAAAAATGAAGCTACTGCATCATTTTCTGATTAGTGTATGTTTCTGTCTGCTGTTTTTGGTAGTGACTGATGCAAGAACACATCCAGGAGATATAGAGGTATTGAAAGATCTGAAGAGATTAATCGACTCGAAATCGATAACACCAGGATCATGTCTTAGTTCCTGGGATTTTTCTGTTGATCCCTGTGATCATGTATTCAGTGCATATTTCACCTGTGGTATCAGGTGTGACTTCAGTCTTGCAGGACTAAGTCGAGTCACCGAGGTTGCCCTTGATGGGGCGGGTTACTCGGGTTTAATCACTAACATTACATGGTTACTTCCATATCTCAACACACTAGACCTCTCAGGCAACTTCCTGTCAGGCTCACTGCCTGAATCCCTTTCCAACCTGATTCATCTTCGACGACTTAGTCTTTCTAAGAACGCGTTTTCTAACTCCATTCCAACCTCACTTGGCTCATTACCTTACCTAGAAGAGATCTATCTAGATCAAAATCAACTCAGCGGATTAATTCCGCCGAGTTTAAACAAACTAAGTCACCTTACAGACTTAGCAGTACAGCATAATCAGCTTTCTGGTGAATTCCCATTTTTAGGCTCTTTGAAAAATTTGTACAACTTTGATGCAAGTGATAACAACATTTCTTCTTTTGGTACTACTAATCCACTTTCTCTTCCTATTTCCCTCATTTCCTTTTCAATGAGGAACAACAGTTTAAGAGGAGAAATGCCTAGAAATTTCTTCCACATGCAAGAACTCGAAGTCTTAGATCTTAGCTACAATGAGCTAAGTGGTGCAATTACAGGGGAAGTTTTTGATCTCCCATCACTTCAGCAACTTAATCTGTCTCATAATCAGTTCTCAGCCGTCAATTCGCCAAATGGTAAAGGGAAAAAAAGAGGGAATGTGTTGGCTGTTGATCTTAGCTACAATAAGATTAGTGGGTTGTTGCCAAAATTTTTAGCTGAGTTACCAAATTTATCAGCATTGTCATTGGAGCATAACATGTTTACTGGGATGATACCCCCAGTGTATGCCCTCAGGGTTGCAACGGTGTCGTTTCAACGTCTTTTGCTCGGTGGGAACTACTTATTCGGGCCGATACCAGACCCGTTAAAGCGGGTGGAGCCCGGTTCGGTGACAGTGAGTTTGGTTGATAATTGCTTGTATACTTGCCCTGTTACTTTGTTCTTTTGTCAAGGTGGTGAGCAGAAAACACTGATTCAGTGCAAAAGTTTAAGGCATAGGATTCCTTAGGAGTTTGGTTTGGTAAATCATTTGGCATAGTTGAGATGTGCATAATATATGCATGATCTAAGTAATCCTTTTAAAAGAAAATTGAGCAAGGATTTATGAAAATGGATAAACAAAAAAAAACTAATTAGAAGCAAAAAAAAAAATGCATATTATATTATGCAAGTTAGGTTCTTGATACATTTGCTCCCTATAAAAATGTGGAGTTTTTTTAAATTTGTAATTCTGTTAATGTTATGAAGTATTTACAATTTTGTTGTGTTTGTTTTTGGGCTCTTGACCATAACATCTTTGTTTTGTACTTAGTACAGTTTTTTTTTGGTACAACCTTTTTTTTTAATGAACAAGAATCCGTGCTATGTTTCAGGGATTTTATCATTTCAAACTCTTAAACTTTGTCAAAATACTTCCACCACAAAATCATAAAATTTAATAATGTTAACATTGATTTAAATACAAGTGATTTTAGTTTCTTCAAAAAAAAAAAAAAAAATACAAGTAATTTTAGAAATAAGCAGGTGCAACAATTCCACAAGTGTCGTTCTGTTGTTCTTGTCAACACAGCTTTGAAAGTAGGATACTTAAGAGGGTATTCTTACCTGCTGTAATTTTCTACTACGTTTTCGACATGGTGATGATTCTTCATTGAATCAACTACCAGCAATTGCCACCTTCCCATGCTCACCGAACACAGCTCATTCCATCCAAGGGCTCCAATGGCAGTCATCAAAGTTTTCCTGTGGTTATTGTTGCTGCTCCTTTTCCTTACCTAACACAACCTTGTTTTAATGTATTTGAATTTCAAGTGAAGAGCCATAAAATGACCAACAGCGCGAAAACAAAGACATATATGAGTAGGGTGAAAAGAAAAGAATGGGCTGCCTAAATATACATCTACAAAAAGAATGATTGACAAAATTGTAAAGATACAATGAATTGTCAAAACAGAAGATATGAACAAATAGGTAGTTTCAAGTGTTCTGGTCCTGAAGTACACCATGTTTAACCCCCTAGCAAAAATTGGGGGTCTTAGAAGTTACGTAAACAATGTGACTACATCTTTCCTGTATCCTCTTACAATTAAAAGCCTCGGAATGTTTTCCACCAAAAGATCCAAGTATTCCATGTAAAATATAGATGGGTGATGGACAGGAGGTGGCGGTAAGCTAACAAGTACCACAGCGGCCATTCTTGAGTATCTTAGCATCGTTGAATTCAACTTCAAGGTAGTGTAAAGAAACTTCTCCACCTGTTGCTCATTCACAACTACAGGTTTGCCATCAGCCATCAAAGGAGTGCCGTCCCTCTCAGCTGTTTCTTTCATCTTTGACATGTAATCAGCAACTCGACGTTGTGCAGCTGTAAATGCTTCGATTGACTCATCCTGAACGGATCCACCATCTACCTGTACATCCCATGTTTTTATTGTAATAACAATTACTTCTGCCTGCATACGGAGATCATAAAGAAACTTCTTCACATCTCCTTTGAGGCCTTCGGCATCAGTTTCCTCCTCTGCTATGCAAAAGACTTGAATCTTGCAATTCTCAAAGCTCTCCTTAGTCAAGAGAAGCTGGGAGAGAAGAAGCATGAGACCACCATCCCTTACAATCCAATATAGATCGATTGTGCCAAACTGTCGTTGAAATACATTGGGCCATTCCTCAAGACCCTTGACAATGACAACTGCCTTGTTTGCTACAATGCAGTCGTTGATTATTCCAACAAAGGTGGATGGAATTTCAATTAGGTTTTCACGACGCCAAATTTCAGGGTACCGCATTACCACAATGTTAGGTTTGAGATTTCCAAGGCCCATGGTTTGGACTATGCCACGGAAGCCAGCAGACATATCAGGAGCGACCACTACTTCTGCAACACCCTCACACTGCTTGTATTCAATGTACGTACTCAACTGCTGGCAGGCAATTTTAGCATCTTCAGCACATTCAAGATAGTCCCCATCAAGGATAGAGACAAAGATTGACATTCCACGACCTTTCTTTTTCACACAATTTGCAAAATCTGCAAGTTTGGGGTGACATGGTACATTCTCTGGTAGCTTGCCCCAAGGCCGGCAGAAGATCAATGGAATAGGATACCAGTTCTTTGCATGCACCTGATTTGCTGAAATTGCAATAAAGTTAGGCACATGGTACAAATAGATTTTTTTTTTTTTTTTTGTGGTGGGGGGGGGGGGGGAAGGTACATATATAGATTACTTATATGAAATTAAAAAGGTATAAATAAAGTCCACTTCTTAACAAAACAAATTGCACGATCTTACATTGATCTAAATTGGTTTAGATATAAATGAGTAATTCATAGATTTGTGAACAATCATATTGAGATTATGACCCTCAACTGTAACCATCATCCTACAAAGTCAAGCGCCATACCAAGTGGACAATTCTGACTGTCAGCAGGTTTGAACAACACCAAAAGCATCAATGCTGCCTATGATGATATGATCTAAAAACAAGTGTTGGGTGATTGTAAATTAAGTGTCAAACAGCTAACTGGTACTAAAAACATTCTACAGCACCATATATGCTTAGCCTATGATCAATGTCCAAATTTTGTACAAATTTTACCAATCCACAAACATAGATCTTTGACAAGAAAATGATAGCATTAGCAACAAAAAGTAGAATCCTTAAATCAATACCTCCAAGAGAACGAAGACTTCGAAGGGCAAGTTGAAAATAAGCACTCTTGAAACCATCACCCCAATCTCCTGCTTTTCCTTTGATGCACACATATTTGTATATAAGGCATGCAAGGGCTAGAGATACAATCGTGAATGACCACGAGATCAAGAACATGATCACTGCAATACAAACCCTGAAGTGAATCAAATTTTTCCAAAATGAAATCAACCCAGATTACCACACAAATTCATTAGTTTGGAACAACAAGAAGCCTTAAATGAATCAGTTAACTGAGAAGACAGGGGAATGAAACATTGTGAAAACCATGTCGGTGTCTATGCAATCTAACAACAAGAGTCTTGCTTGGCGCAAATGCGCACCATTAGTTAGTTAGAGAAGCCAGTACAGGATTGCATAGATACCGGCACTTCTCTCAGCATAAAATATTCTGGGTAAAATCATTCAGTTTAGTTAGCACCTCTCACTTCCACTTCTAGTCCCTTTCCTTCCTCTTATAATGCTCCAAACCTCTTCTAAAGTTCTAATGAGTTGGAACTTTATTTGTTTGCTTTCGTCCCTAATCTTTTACCAAATATATATTTCTCGCACATCCATAAGATGTAGTATAATCTACGGTGGCAACTACAGCACCGCAAAGCATGTTTTCATGCAGCCTAGATGCCTTCTAAATTAGAGATGTACAGGTTCCTAATCATCAACCTTTTCAGAGTAACAATTACCAAAAGATGACAGATCATGAGTAAATTTAATAATAATGATTAAAATAACCATACCTATGCAAATAGTTGCTCCAAAAAGTGAGAGGCTCCAATGATGAAATTTCCACCGCGGACGCCAGCTGGGAGCATCAAGAAGGTCCAGAAGGAAGCAGGATAAGTTCACACCCGCATAGCACAGCAGGTAAAACATAGTGATTGTGGGAGAAATAAGATCCAGATTCCCAATCACGACACACCCAAGACAAATGAAGGCAGTAAAGAGGGTAGCAATATAAGGCTCACCCCCATCAACTACTTTGAAGTAATTAAGAACAGGTAAAATATCATCATTTGCAATTGCAGCCAACAAGCGTGGAGCACCAGTCAAACTCTGAAGAGCAGCCCCCAAAGTTGACAAAATAATTCCCACATATATTATTACTGGAAAAGGCCAAGCCACTGTTGCTGTAAGTAACCTGCGTAATATAAGCAGATATGCAACAAAGCAGTGAAAGATGTCAACACCCTATAATAGAGTAAACAGATAAGCAACAAAGCAATAAAAGATGTCAAAATCCTATTACAGAGTAAGGTTCAAGAATCCTTACTGGGATTATAAACATACATATGTACCAGTGGAAATATATAAAATAAAATAAACTATGATTCTTCTGTGAATGTTTCTAGCTCTTAGACAAAAGGAAACTAGAATTCTTATGCATCTTAATCCCTCCACAAGAAGTCATGTAAAGTTGACATCAATCTCCTCGCAATATCTAAATTATAGTTGTCTGCATACAGGATAAATTATTTTAGTCATTCCTTAACTTTGAATTTCTGTCCTAAATCCTAATACTACTGGTCAGAGGTGCTTTTCATCAATTAACTATATACCTAATTTCACAATCAAGCAATAAAATCTATAAGGATAAATCCATTATCATTTCAAAGCAAGACTCCTCTGTGGCTTCTTACTTCCTAGGTGAAAAAACAATACACGAAAACAATAAGATAAATAAAGTAGGTAAGTGCATGTTCACAAAAAGAAGCAGAGTTTTATTTAACACAAAGAACCTCCAAAATTTCCTAATTCAACCCTGTGACTATGGCTGGTTCAGATAACAATGAAAAAGTGCAAAAGCCAGACAAAGTTCAGAATCACACACCTGTCTGTCAGAAGCTTTTCCCTAGTCGCAAAAGCACCAAATACCAAAACTGAGATTAGATAGAGACCAGTGGTTGTGAGTTGTGAAGCCAATGTTCCAACAGGGATTGAATGCTGAGTATCTTTCAGTGAGGCAGAGCGATTTGAACCAGCCATGATACCGGTTACAGCAGGAAAGAAAAGGCCAACCAATGCACTGCATAGTCAGAGTGTATATTGAATAACAAATTAAACAGCACTTCACAAATTAACAATATTTTCTAAGCTAGAATGGGTAAAGGAGAAAAGGGTAGCAGGTAATGATGACATAACATGCAAAGCAGCAAAGTACCAATTTTTAAAGAGGCAGAATTTGTTAAATATTTTTTGTGCCTTAAAGAGCAAGAGTGCTAAACATATGGCATGTATATGGGATGAACTAGGTTCAGTATAGTTATATGAAAGATTCTCTTGTATCCAGAAGGGGTGGAAAAACTCTAGAAACCAAAGCGTGAGAGACAGTTCCATTGGCAATTTGGTGGTGCACTATGAGAAAATAGATTCCCCTTGTATAAGTTTTAATTCAAGTTGTCAAGGCATTTGCATAGCTGGAATCAAGTATTGCTTTTGATCATTAGTTGACTCTTCTTGGTATTTTAAATAAATTGTATCATGATAACC